ATGTTCATCATGCAATATTTTTGTCCAGTCGGAAACCATTCATTGTCAGTGTCATATGAAGCCCTATGAGATATGGTTGCCTGAGCGATCGCTGAATCCACTTTATCAGCAGTTGATTTCATGATAATAACTGCGACGAGTAGATGTGAACGGAATGCACTGAATATGATATATGTACGAATATGATATGTGAGTATGATATATGTTCAAACAACTGATATATTGAATGTTTTAAATGCAGAAACAAATAATTGGAATTCAAAATGAGATGGATGAATTACGTTTGAGGAGCAGCGTTGAGAAAGCCGACATGGCACGACGTTTAACATCAAGTATCGATCATGTCACTGAACTTAACAAACAGGCAAGTTGTCGTCTCTGCTGCAGTGACAACCAACAATGCTCTTAGTGGCTTCTTTATCATTTTATTTTTTTGTCACATCGCTATCCATGCTTCCGCTTTGTCCATGCGCTCATCATGCAAATATCACTTCATTTTGCGCACTGAACAGCTACAAGTCTAAAATTGCTCTATTCGTTGCTTGTAACTATTATCATTTACTATTTTTTTTTACAAAATGGACGACTTGAAAGTGTTTCAACTAATTCACATCAATCTCTCAACATCGCTATTAATTACTCACCTCAAAAATGACGCAAAGCGATTGTGAGAGCTTCTTGAGATGTGATAATTTGTTCGTCTTATTTCGCATTTTTCATTCAAGCAATCATTTTATCGCCTCGCACAGCTTATATGAATTTGAGCAATCAGTTTCGCTTTTTTTCGCACTCAAAAGTTTTATTCGTTTTTTTTCTGTTTTCTGCATCAACAAATTTCTTTTTATGGTTCAACTTATCGCATTGCTCTTGCTGCCTATAACGCAGACGTTGTGTTGAACTTGCAAAATGATTGCGACAATTTTTATTTTCGAATTTTCGTGCGAAAAGCAATTAGTCCTTAACAGTTGGCTACTGTGATGTCGCTTATTTTGTAGCTTTTGTTCCGATGCGTTCGTTTTTTTCTTCAAGTTCTCTTTTTCACATTAAAACGAGCAATGTATTGCTCATTTTAATGTCAGCAAAATGCTATCTAGTTACAAGCCAAAGGGCTTACTTATAAAGTGCTCAAAAACTTCAGTCTGTCAATGTTTGAAATTGCTTAGTGCGATTTGTTAGTAAATTTACTGGTGTTCTTGAATTGACTTTATGAGATCATGCACTACTCGGTTCAACACTTCCAGCTAATTACTAGTGCACAAAGCATTCCTATCGCGTGCAAGATACTTGTTTATTTCTTAACGGGTGCAAACTCGCATTTTACGTTATCTTTGAGATGTTGCTGCTCATCGCTATTGAGGTTCTTTTGCTGAGGATGCCAAAAGACTATAAGAACGTTGNGTTATCTTTGAGATGTTGCTGCTCATCGCTATTGAGGTTCTTTTGCTGAGGATGCCAAAAGACTATAAGAACGTTGAAGCGTTCAAATATTAGGCTACATAGCATTCCATTCCTATCGATTGCGATTGAAAAAGTTTTTTGAATTTTTTTTTTCAAAAGCAGAAAACATTTGACATTGAACACAAACTTCAAATGAAAAATTTTCATTTGAACCAATAGCCTCTAGCAACTAAATCCAATAAATTACTCGTCTCGAGTAGTTTTTAAAAGAGTTTGCTGATGTTGCATATAGAACGAGTAGTTGATTGAATAATGCAAACTAATAATTTCTTGAGACACAACGGTTTCATATGATAGCACTCGATGTGATTCTCTGAGTGTTGTGAGAGGTTGCATTTGGACTGATCACACATTGTTTTTATGGTCAGAGCCAATGCAGAACCACGTCTGTGATGTCACTCCTTTGAGAGCGTAATTTTTTTGGTAAAATATTCAATTCCATACAAATTTAACTACCTAAAAAGTGGTTTTGTTCTCAAAGCGGTGAATTGAATAGCCGTTCGATTGAAATCATCGAATGTTACGCTGGTCATAATGCCCAAAGTTGTAAATTTGGACTTCTAACTTCCAAAAGATGAAGATAACGAATATGATTGGTTGTGTTTGTGAGTGACCTGAGTGAATCAATGAGAGGAATTTTGCAGATGAATCGTACAACACGCGATGTGCAAGTGGATGCGCATCCACGGGTTGTGAGTAAATATGTGGCTTGTCGACCGAATGCTCGGCATAAAATGACCGATATTGCGAAGGGCGATCTGTTCGATGAGGCTGAAGAAAGGCTGAAACTATGTCAGGGTGAACTGACCACAACTCGACGTCAAGTTGAAGTATTGCAACAAAAACTCATCGATTATGCTCAATCATCAGACGTGAGTCACTCGCATCTATTCATTTCACTGCGCATCACTGAGGCATTTTTATCGTCCTCCGAGTATTTTCAAGTTTTGCCACAGTGCGAAACTTCGAAGATGTCTTCATCTGAAGTATAAAAAGGTTGTCAGCACGGCGGTTGTCTCCACATTGCAATGCCTTAAACACAATTCATGAAAAGGTATTTGTTTGTTGTTTTTAGGCGAATGGTAATTCCAAAGTACCAACCTTTTCTCCCGTCCTTCTACGTACATCGCGTGAAATTCAAGCAACTGACAATGATTTACAATCGATTGAAGCGAAAAAAGCCGTTGAAAAACTGAACGAGAAAATTGATGAACTTGAGAAGAGGAATATCGACCTAGCTGCTAGGATGCGAGAAGCAGAGGATGATAAACAGAAAATGATCAAAATGCAACGGCAGCAAATATCACAACTCGTAGCTGAGTTCGATAATGTTCGTAAGGAACTCGATCAGGTCAGTTCAGTTGTTTCTTTCGATGCATTTTTTGACGATTCATCTCGAAGACTATTCTATGCCAGCTGATTTCTCAATTATCTCTCTAGTTTCTTATGGTTGTGACATTTAGTGTTTTAAGGAAAAACGAGCGATGACGAATATTATGACGATTGAAATGTGTCTCCAGTTCAATGCGACATTATCTTGAGCGTTTCAGGAAATGAATAAGTACGAAAGTGAACGACGTAAACTGAAGAACCGAATTGAGTTGTTGGAAAAAGTAAAGCTCGATCGCGATCGGCTGATTGAACGATTCAGACGTCTTGAAACGACAAGCGGTGATATCAACACAAATTTGTTAACAACAAAAGTGAGGTGAGTGAATACTTCGCAAATATGTCTTGAACAAAATGGAGCATTATGCTGGCGATGCAGTTGTCGACACCAGTCAGATTTTATTCGATATTGATGGGGTCGTCCAATTTGATAGAGCATCTTCTTTTGGCTGAAAACTAGTAAAATTGATTGTTCAAAACATGAATATTGCGTTATGGAGCGATACTTTACAAAACCCACTTAATGAAATTGCCCAATTCAGTGTTGCAAATATAATGTTTCGTTTAATATTGAGTGCGGTGAATAGTGGCTCTATCTTTTTTCATCTTACTGTTTATTTCGGCTCTATCGAATGCACTTCGTTTAAGCATTAAAGTGCCGGATGCCGAACAACAACAAAGAAATGCAGATGATTCGAACAATTCGTCTGAAAAAGAGCAGAGTTCAGCAATGAAAAGGTTTGTTTCAGTATCGTTTTGTTGTCAGCGAGTTGACAAGTTTAGTGAATCAACCAAAATGACTTGATAAAGATGCTTATAAGATCGATTGAAGGTGTCTCTCAGTGCCACATATGTACAATGCAGCCATGACACTCAGTGATGAGTTGAACACGGTACGTGAACGAAATACAGTACTTGCAAAAGCAAACGCTCACCTCACTTATGAACTCAACTCGTTGCGTCACTCGATACAGTCTTCAATT